ATGTATATACTGCATCCCACTGCAACTCGTGTTTTTAAATGAAAAATGTACTCTGTGTGATTGGCTTTCGGCTCTTTGTATTAAACTATGCATACATACATGATGCTGTTTTGTTTATAGTTGTTTAAGCAACTTAATTATAATTGGTTTATAAACATTATTTTAAACATTATGCACTTTTTTTCACAGATAGTCTGTTTTCTTATGTTTTGAGTACGTGCATTAGTAATATTTTGCTCAATGCGCCCTCTTGTGGCCTCAGGAGAGAAGCCAAAAGCTTTTCTTCACCCTAACTGAAATTATCCATTTTAAATTCGAATATAAATAAAATTTTGATAATATTTAAGTAAAAAATTCAAATTTAGTCTTTCAGCCATTTTGACAGCCCTAGTGCCGACCATCTCTAACTCGGATAAACTTTGCCTTTGTTCATGACCACTCCTCTAGCCCCACTTGGCCTGCTTTGGCCCAAGGTATTCGGCGGGCCGAAAATCCCTGGCCGTTGGCCCCGAGGAAGCCCCGACATGGCACGATCAAGCACCGGAAGTGACAGTAGAAACGTGACTGGCCCTGGCACGCACTAGCACACTCGCTTTTGGCCCGACAGTGGAAACGCGGCTAATGACACATGACATTTTAATAACACTTTTTGCTTATAGACACTGTCCATACCAATATGCCTTCCGACATTTTTTAAGTCAAAGTTCAGGAAACTGCAGACAAACCTCTTTAATGCTGACAGGCTCTGCAAAAATGTATGCTTGGTCTTTCTCCTGTAACTGATCCAGCACAGCCCTTAGAAGGACTGTGAAAGGAGTGAGATGGACCTCCATTAATGTCTGCTGAAGCATAATCTGCAACATAACCACAAGAGTCATCATCCAAGAACACAAGTATGCAAACAATTAACATTAGCATATGCTACTGGTACAAATGCTTGTCTTGATTAAAAGCAGCATATTGTTCTCATACCTCTTCTTTCTTGAGGTTCTCTCTCTTCCTGATCTGCTCTAACAGGAGTCTTGCCCGCTCAAGGTCATGTCTCAACCGTTGCCACTCCTTCAGCTGCTCCTTCAATGCTTGAGTCTCCTCTTCCGTCTGTTTCTGTCGTTACAATGTTTTCAAATTCAAGTGCATGTTTTCAAATGTGCATGACCATGCTGAAGTGCTGCTTAAAGAAATAGTTCACCTAAAAATTCAAATTTGATGAAAATGTACTCCTCCTCAGTCCATCCAAGATGTATATGACTTTGTTTCTTCATTAAAACAGATTTTGAGAAAATTAGCATTACGTCACATACTCAACCAGTGGATCCTTTGTAGTGCATGGGTGCCATCAGAATGAGAGCTTTTATCCAAACAGCTTTTAAGAGCATTACAATAATTCACAAGTAATCCAAACTCCAATCGATCAATTAATGTCTCATGAAGTGAAAAGCTGTTTGTTTGTAAGAAACAAAACCATTATTAAGGCATTTTAAAACCATTACTTCTGGCCAAAATAACAGTGCATAATCCATAATAACACTTCCTCAAGTGAAAAAGTCCTCTGTTTTGCTCGCACATAAAAATCCACAGACATATTTATACAGAACTCTTTTGGATGTTTTTGCTTATAAACCATGCTTGATCTATGCTTGATTTCTCTCCTGATTCAGATGAGGCTACTTTTTTCACTGGAGAAAGCAATATTATGGACAGAGAGTTAAACACGTCTTAATGATCAATTTACTGCAAACATGCAGTTTTTCACAAGATATTAATTGATGGACTGGAGTCGTGTGGATGACTTGAGAATTATTATGATGTTTTTATAAGCTGTTTGAACTCATTCAGATGGCACCCATTCACTGCAGAGGATAACTTGGTAAGCAAGTGATGTAACGCTAAATCTTTCCAAATTTGTTTCCGATGAAGAAACAAACTCATCTATCTACTTGGCCTGTAAATGTTCAGCAAATTCTCAATTTTGGGTGAATCATTCCTGCAATGCTTCATGAGGATATACTTACAGGCTGTGCGTTTTTCTGGGAATGTAGGCTAGTTTGGAGGCGTCTGTTGAGTGGCACTCCATTCCTTGATAGTCTTTTAAGCATCCAAAAATTTAAGACAAGTTCGCCAAATGCCTTCTTCTTCTGTAAAGAAACTTGATTGAGGAATGTGTTTAACCTGTAGGAGAATATGACAGCACAATGAAATTTAATGTTTTATACATTCTTGCAGGTATGGCTTAAGCTTATGAAATGGTTTTAATTTTGCATAATCATTGTGAAATAATATGATGTACCAGATTGGATTAAAACCAAGTTTTGTTGTTGTTGTTTTGACCTTTTTGATGATTTACCTATATATATCTACAGTCGCAGCCAAAAGTATTGGCAGTGACATAAATTTTGTGTTTTGAAAAATTTGCTGCTTAAGCTGTTGTGGCGTTCATTCACATTGTTTCTAGATTATGTCACTGCCAATACTTGTAGAAACAATGTGAATGAACACCACAACAGCTTAAGTAGCTAATTTGGCAAAACACAAAATTTATGTCACTGCCAATACTCCCTGGCCGTTGGCCCCGAGGAAGCCCCGACATGGCACGATCAAGCACCGGAAGTGACAGTAGAAACGTGACTGGCCCTGGCACGCACTAGCACACTCGCTTTTGGCCCGACAGTGGAAACGCGGCTAATGACACATGACATTTTAATAACACTTTTTGCTTATAGACACTGTCCATACCAATATGCCTTCCGACATTTTTTAAGTCAAAGTTCAGGAAACTGCAGACAAACCTCTTTAATGCTGACAGGCTCTGCAAAAATGTATGCTTGGTCTTTCTCCTGTAACTGATCCAGCACAGCCCTTAGAAGGACTGTGAAAGGAGTGAGATGGACCTCCATTAATGTCTGCTGAAGCATAATCTGCAACATAACCACAAGAGTCATCATCCAAGAACACAAGTATGCAAACAATTAACATTAGCATATGCTACTGGTACAAATGCTTGTCTTGATTAAAAGCAGCATATTGTTCTCATACCTCTTCTTTCTTGAGGTTCTCTCTCTTCCTGATCTGCTCTAACAGGAGTCTTGCCCGCTCAAGGTCATGTCTCAACCGTTGCCACTCCTTCAGCTGCTCCTTCAATGCTTGAGTCTCCTCTTCCGTCTGTTTCTGTCGTTACAATGTTTTCAAATTCAAGTGCATGTTTTCAAATGTGCATGACCATGCTGAAGTGCTGCTTAAAGAAATAGTTCACCTAAAAATTCAAATTTGATGAAAATGTACTCCTCCTCAGTCCATCCAAGATGTATATGACTTTGTTTCTTCATTAAAACAGATTTTGAGAAAATTAGCATTACGTCACATACTCAACCAGTGGATCCTTTGTAGTGCATGGGTGCCATCAGAATGAGAGCTTTTATCCAAACAGCTTTTAAGAGCATTACAATAATTCACAAGTAATCCAAACTCCAATCGATCAATTAATGTCTCATGAAGTGAAAAGCTGTTTGTTTGTAAGAAACAAAACCATTATTAAGGCATTTTAAAACCATTACTTCTGGCCAAAATAACAGTGCATAATCCATAATAACACTTCCTCAAGTGAAAAAGTCCTCTGTTTTGCTCGCACATAAAAATCCACAGACATATTTATACAGAACTCTTTTGGATGTTTTTGCTTATAAACCATGCTTGATCTATGCTTGATTTCTCTCCTGATTCAGATGAGGCTACTTTTTTCACTGGAGAAAGCAATATTATGGACAGAGAGTTAAACACGTCTTAATGATCAATTTACTGCAAACATGCAGTTTTTCACAAGATATTAATTGATGGACTGGAGTCGTGTGGATGACTTGAGAATTATTATGATGTTTTTATAAGCTGTTTGAACTCATTCAGATGGCACCCATTCACTGCAGAGGATAACTTGGTAAGCAAGTGATGTAACGCTAAATCTTTCCAAATTTGTTTCCGATGAAGAAACAAACTCATCTATCTACTTGGCCTGTAAATGTTCAGCAAATTCTCAATTTTGGGTGAATCATTCCTGCAATGCTTCATGAGGATATACTTACAGGCTGTGCGTTTTTCTGGGAATGTAGGCTAGTTTGGAGGCGTCTGTTGAGTGGCACTCCATTCCTTGATAGTCTTTTAAGCATCCAAAAATTTAAGACAAGTTCGCCAAATGCCTTCTTCTTCTGTAAAGAAACTTGATTGAGGAATGTGTTTAACCTGTAGGAGAATATGACAGCACAATGAAATTTAATGTTTTATACATTCTTGCAGGTATGGCTTAAGCTTATGAAATGGTTTTAATTTTGCATAATCATTGTGAAATAATATGATGTACCAGATTGGATTAAAACCAAGTTTTGTTGTTGTTGTTTTGACCTTTTTGATGATTTACCTATATATATCTACAGTCGCAGCCAAAAGTATTGGCAGTGACATAAATTTTGTGTTTTGAAAAATTTGCTGCTTAAGCTGTTGTGGCGTTCATTCACATTGTTTCTAGATTATGTCACTGCCAATACTTGTAGAAACAATGTGAATGAACACCACAACAGCTTAAGTAGCTAATTTGGCAAAACACAAAATTTATGTCACTGCCAATACTTTTGGCCACGACTGTATATATATTAGGGCTGTGCAAAAAATCAAATGCGATTTTCATGCGCATCTCGTCAGTAAAGCCGCTCCTGTGATTAGTAGTAAATCTCCATCACGTGCTTTCAGATGGAGCGGCATTCACTACACAGAGCAGTTCACTGACAAGCTACACAAAATAATCGCATTCGATTTTTTGCACAGCCCTAATATATATATCCTGATATTTGCACTGAAATGGCTTAAAAGGATCCAGTATCTCACCAGCTTTTGTAAAACCAAAGATTCAAACAAACCTTTCAGGTGAAAAACTGGGTACAGATGCATATGGAACTGGGGCTACAACTTCCACCTCATTGTTTTTCAGTCTCTTCTGTTTTTTTAATCTCGTCCTGCTGCCCTTTTTGTCCACCGACTGACAAAGTCTATAATTTGTCTTAGTTTCGTTATAAATTGTAAGCTGTCTTTTAATGGAGCCATTTGGGGTATGGGCCCCACAGTAAGCTGTCTTTTTTACAGAGAAAGTGGGTACACCTGAGTCAGTCAACTCTTTAATAGGCTCCATCTTCATAAAGAGACCAGCCTTCTGTGCACAACTGACATGGAAAGCAGTGTAGCAGTTCGCTTTGTGGCACTGGATACAAGCCCCAACACCTTTTTCTTTACAGAGGTAGCAGGTAAGCTTCCATCGAGCTGGCGGAATGTTTGAGACACCATCAATAGGCTCAATAAAGACCGTGCTGGAAAACCCAACCTCGGGAACCCATAAAGCACAAACAACATGACCCCATTGGTCATCTTCTGTCTTTTTGACTGCTCCTCCCTTGTTAGGGCAGAGGATGCAGTTAGCGGGTTGTATCGGGGACTGCAGACAATGTCGGCAAAGCCACTGGCCCTCTGGAATATACGGAACACCATAACAATCCTGATGAACGGCTAGATTGCACATATCGCAGAAGAGGATGGCATTGCTGTCCATGCAATCTCCATCCATGCATATACAGCAAACAGCATCTTCATCAATTAAGGACTGGAGACTCTGTTGGCCCTGACGCTCTAAAAATGATTCTTTTTCAAAACGGTCAAGAAGGAACTCAAAGGCATTAGGGGAAACTGGGTTAAGGCCTTCATTCTTTCTTTTCTCATTGACCAGCTCAAGCCAGGCATAGTCCTCTTCATCTATATCATATTCCACCTCCTCATTCAGCTCTTCTAAAGTTTTCTCCTCATACTTGTAGTATGTAGAAGGTCTGCATGGGATAGCTGGGAGATTGTAATCCACTGTGTGGAATTTGGGCTCAGGTAGTGTGCTGTCTTGCACTAAAGTATTTTGTGCGGTGACAGCAGCGTTCTTTTTCTGCTGGTTGTTTCTGAGGTGTGCAGAACATACAAAAACCTGCTGGTGTTTCTCAGCATTCTCCTTATTGCTGGTACACTCCATAATTTCCTGTGCCATGGGATCATCATCCGTGATGATGTTGAGCTTGTCAAAGATGTTGACCTGGTGCAACCGGCCATCAACTTCTAGTTCGACCATCCTCTGGGCCTGGGCGTAAGTCAGCGTCTCGTGGTTGGGGGAAAGTTTGATAGGGGAAGGTAGCTGCTGAGGGGTGGATACTTTGTGAGCTAGAGATTTTCTTTTCATTGGGGATCTTTACAAAGCTGAAAAGAGAACCAGTGTTATTCCTAACGCAACAGTGCATCTAAATTAGATGTAGATGCATCCCATAAAAATCAAACCATGCTGAATAACATGACTTTATCTAAACAACTTATCCATGTCACAGAGGAGGAAGTTATTCAAAAGTACCGTTACCATGGTACTGATGTATACCACGGCACTGAAGTCCAGGGTAGTTCTATTTCAACTACAGTTTTACCAAGTTATTATTAGATTACTACAAGATAGCAATGATTATTATAGCAGCGTAAGCGCAATTAGGACGCTTTTCAAATTGAAGTATTTTCGGGCATCACAGGCGAGATCAGAGACATGTTCGATCATTCGTGCGTAGGATTCAAAACATTTTGGGCATTTTATGTGCATTTTATGTGCATTCCAAACATTCGAATCGAAACATTTTTTTGTTCAACATTATGGCAGCGTTTTGGGGGGCGCCTATGATCCCCTAAAATACTGTCTATGTAGGCAGTTCGCTGTTTTGAGACACCATGAAGATACACATTCAAATCTTATCGCTTTACATTCCCATGCATTATAAAACAGGTGCACCCCTGCAAATCGCAAAACAATAACGGTTATTTTAGAATCTATCATATTACCTCTGATCTGGTTGATAAAGAAAGGAGCAGCTTTCTAAAGCGATGGCGAGATGGCCTGCAGTAATTCTTCCGTACACAATGTTCTCATCCAAGGACAACCAATTTAAATATGCATGGATAAATCTGGAATGCTGCAAACGCTTAACCAGGCTGCCAGGACTATAATAATGAACTGAGAATCACTACGAGAATGCTCCGGCAACGAGCAGCGATACGATACGATTGTTCGCCTGCAACCAACAACAATGCGGATGGTTCACTACGAATAGACGTCCCACCCGCAACGCACTGCGTCATGACGTAGCTCACTCATATGAGGCTTGTTTGAGATGAGCAAAATCTGCGCAGAATCGATCACCGGGAGATATATCCAGCTGCAGACCCGCAGCACCAGCAGTTTCAGAACCGCAGCCACAGAACCGCACCCACAGAACCGGAAGTGAGGGGCGGAGCTTACATTTTTTAAAAGAGTAGCGCCACCTTATGGTTTTTAAGGGGTAATTTGCTTTTATTACACACGATACGTCATACTTTATGTATGCATTTTATAATGACATATTAAGCATTTTATAAACATTATATACATCTTGTGTAATTTAGTTGTAGACCTATACAGTTATTAGTTGTAGACCTATACAGTTATTCGTTTCATCGTATTATGCGAGTAATTTCCTGTTTGTGATATTAAAAATAATGTTTGAAGCTTCTGGGCATTTTATATGAAATATACTTTAATCACAAGATTCAAAATAAATGTTTACTCCAAAGTCAAGAACACGTGCATCATACATTTTTCTATATGAAAACTAAAACATTTCAATAAAACACAGACACACACAAACAGCAGCATAATTTTAAAAGTAACAATCAAAATGTACACAATAATTAAATTGAAGTTTATAAAATGAACAATTCACTATTACGCCCATTTTGTCATGACAATCCTGCATGAAAACAAAATGAACAATTCACTCTTATGCCCATTTTGTCGTGACAATCCTACAAAAATAACTCCCCTGAACACAAGATGAAATATGAAGGGCACTCTGGAAACTTCTGTTCCAGGAGATTGTTGAGGGCCTTTTCCTCGTCCTCTTCCTCCATTATAAGGAAAAGAGGCTCTTCCCCTGGCCCCCTGAGCAGATGTCTGTTTAATGGAGCCATTTCACAACTTCTGTGAGATTACTG